CACACGGTAGAGCGTCGCGTCGAATGAAGGAGAGGAGGCAGCGACTCTTCAGCTCTGTGAATGCAGTTCCCTCGACCTAACACGACTCCCTCCGCCGCCCTACTCGATCGCTCATACGTCGGAACGCGCTGAATTCGATATGGAGTGGCAGATGCACGCACGGTCACTGCCGTCACTCGTGTCTCGAAGCGAGAGGACAGGAGCAGAGGGGTCATCCACTGCCGTGAGATGAGAGGAGAGAAGAGAGAGAGGGAGAGAAGCGCGTTAACAGAGAAGAGAGAGGAGAGATCGGGTGCTAACGGCCCGTCCTCGCTCTCAGACTGTCGGATTCATGTCAGAGGCTACGTCAGAGAGAAGGAGATCTACGATGATAGAAGCCGGTAAACGCGTGACACTCAGTACACGAGACAGCAGAGGAGAGAGAACAGGCGTAAACGAGGAGAAGAGAGGATAGAGGCGAAATCACGTGACACGTCTAGAGGAGAGAGGAGCGAACAACTGTGAACGAGAGGAGATGACGCGAGAGAGGTAACTACCACGTGAACTCGAGAACAGAACAGGCGAATCCACTCTCTATAACCGAGAGCTGAGAGAGGAGAGAGGAACCTTCGTCTCCAAGTAGACGCCGGAGTCAGCGTTTAGCGATAGGGGACCACCGTCACCGAGCATCCCCTCCCCCACCGCACCCGCCGCGCCACACCAGCTCGCCAACGCGAGCCACCCCGCACGAGAGGCCACGCCCTCAAGCCCCCAGGAGAACAGGTGAACGAGACGGAGAGAGAGAGAGCGACGACTCATCGTGAACGAGAGGGAAGAGGAGCAACACGCTCGCCCCCCGCCCACCACACCGCCCACGACCGCACACCCCCCCCAGCAGGCACCGCCCCCACGAGCGCCCAGACCAACCCACCGCTGACCCGCAGAGAGAGAGGAGAAGCAGGTGAACGCAGAGGAGAGGCAGGAGAGAACGGGAGGCACACGGGTCTTCGGGGCTGAACGGAGAAAAGTTCGTCGCATGTGTATGAGCAGAGGCATGCAGGTGGATTGCGAGCAGGATGAGAGGAAAAGGACAGGAGGACAGCGTTTGAAATGAGGGCAGCGGAGGAAGGGAGGAGAGCGTGGGAGCGTCAAGCACGTCGAACCGCAGAGGCTAGGAGAGGCAAAGACACGCGTGTAAGAGAGCAGGCGAGAGATGGAGAGCGAGGAGCACACGCCAAGGACAGGCGGCAGTGAACGAGAGGAGCGAGGAGAACAGGGTTTGAACGAGAGCGAGAGAGGAGAAAGCGAGACATACACTGTAGAACGAGAGGAGAGAGGGCAGAGAGCGAGATGGAGAACTAGGTGACGGAGAGGAGAGGAAGTCAGCTAGGCAACACGCGGTGAACGAGAGGGCGATAGAGGAAGAAGACGAAGCTCAGCAGACGGAACCGGGCAGGCTCCGGGTGAATCGAAGAGGAACAAAGAGGAGGCGTCGAGAAGAACACCTGTGAACGGAGGAAGAGGTAGGAGATGCGGCGGAAGCGTACCATGAGACTATGTGCGAGAGAGAAGGAGGGAGAAATGGGGAGAGGAGAACGCGTGAGCAAAGAAGAGATAGAGCAGACGGAGAGAGGGTAAAACAACGGCGCGAGGTTGAATGACGACGAAGTCAGGAGAGAAGAACAGAGTAAAAGATAAGAGAGAGAGAGAGGAGAAAGAGAACGCGTGGAACGAGTAGGAGGGAGGGAGGACGTGTACGAGATTGAGCACGACGGAGAAGCTAGATGAGACGAGAGGGAGAGAGGACGTGATGATAGCGAGTCAACAATGTGAAAGCGCGAGAGTGAGAAGAGGCAAACATAGTGAAACGAGTAGAAGCGAGAAGAGGGAGGGTAGTAGTGAGAAGTGGCCAGGTGATCACTCGAATTAGGGAACAGCTAGTATATGGGAGTAAGTTGGAGGTTCGACTAAAGCACGTGGACGAGAGGAGAACACGTAACGAGAGAGAGGTACGAGACAAGATTATCTGCAGCAGGAGGCGTGAAACAGGTGCAACGAGAGGACCGGAGAAGAAGAGCGGGAAAGAATCCGAGGAGTAAATTTGCGATTAGAGCGAGGCCCACGAATAGATGCCAGGTCAGAAACATAACGATAGAAAATTAATAATATAAACGAGCGATGACTTAGAGAATGAAAAAAAGGTGGAGCATTGAAGTGGCACTAGGTGAATAATAGATGGTATACAGGTTATTCTGAACATACGTTGAACGACAGTAAAGAGGGCAAGACAGAGGTGGAAAAAGCCCGACCGTCGTGTCATAGATACTCAGAGCGATCGGAGCAACGACGTAAGCGAGAGAAGCTTGAGGAGATGAGGTAGAACATAGCTGAACGTTGCAGTGAGAGAGGGAGTATATTACGAGATCGAACACGTAAGCGAGAGAGAGAGGAGAGACGGAGAGGAGGAGAGAGGAGAGAGAGACAGGAGAGAGGAGAGTGGAGAGAGAGCTAGACGCGCCAGAGCGAGCGAGCACGAAAAGGAGTAGGAGGTAGAGGTCAAGACGAGACCAAACGTAAGAATTACGAGAGAAAAGATAGAGAGGAGATAGCGGACGATAAGTGAACGACAGGAGATGAGGCAGAGAGGAGAAACAGGTGAATCGAGAGAAGAGATGGCGAGGAGAACACCCGTGAACGAGAGGAGAAGAGAAGAAGAGGCAAACACGGGGACGAGAGCAGAGAGGACGAACACGTAGAATCGAGAGAATAATGAAAGAATACTAGGTAGAGTTGAACACGAGAGGAGAGAGAAGACACAGGTGAAGAGAGGATGATAGTTACGAGGTGAGAGAAGAAAGTTGTACTAACACGTGAATCCTCGGGCCTTCGTATATTCGGTACGAGAGAGGAGAAAGGAGCAACAGGTGAACGCAAGAAAGGCACCTGGGGTGTAGTGCGGCAGAAGAGGTTAGGAGGCGAACGACGGTCGGGAACGCCGATGAGAACAGCTGTGGAAACTAGTAGGAGAGAGGAGAGTAGGAGAACACGTGAACGAAAAGAGATGGAGAGAGGAGACAAAACGAACGAGAGGAGAGAGGAGAAAGGAGAACACGTAAACGAGAGGAGAGAGGAGAGAGGCGAACGCGTGAATGAGAGCAGAGAGGAGGACGTGTGAACGAGAGGAGAGGAGAGAGGGGAACGCGTGAATGAGAGAGAGGAGAGAAAGGAGAGGAGAACGCGTGAAAGAGAAGAGAGAGGAGAGAGGGGAACGCGTGAATGAGAGAAGAGAGAGAAGAACGAGTAAAAGAGAAGAGAGAGGAGAAGAGAACGCGTGAAAGAGAGGAGAGAGGAGAACGTGTGAACGAGATGAGAGAGGAGAACAGATGAACGAGAGGAGAGATGAGATAGGAGAACAAGTGAACGAGAGGAGAGAGGCAAACAAGTGAACGAGAGAAGAGAGGAGAGAGGAGAACAGGTGAACAAGAGGAGAGAGGAGTGAGGCGAACACGTGGACGAGAGGAGAACACGTGAACGAGAGGAGAGGAGAGAGAAGAGAGGTGAACACGTGAACGAGAGGAGAGAGGAGAGAGGAGAACAGGTAAACGAGAGGAGAGATGAGAGAGGAGAACACGTAAACGAGAGGAGAGAGGAGAGAGGAGAACACGTGAACGAGAGGAGAGAGGAGAACACGTGAACGAGAGGAGAAAGGAGAACACGTGAACGAGAGGAGAGAGGAGAACACGTGAACGAGAGGAGAACATGTGAACGAAAGGAGAGAGAACACGTAAACGAGAGGAGAGAATAGAACATGTGAAGAAGACCAAACATCAGCAGGCATGAATGATAGGAGAGAGAGGAGACATGTTGACATTGTTTGAGAAGACAAAGGGAGATATTTAGAGAACGCATAAAAGAGCCACGGGCGAAGAGAGCCAAACACATAAGCGAGAGGAGAGAGAGCACGTGAAAGAAGCAAAATAGGAGAACACGGGAACGAGACAAAGATACCAAGGATCCCATGTTGTAATGTTCCCCTCTTTGTTTCACACTAAGTGTTGTCAAAAATTAAGTGATAACCATTCTGTGAAGGAAATATTTGCCTTGGTGCACTTTAAATTAGCCATGGTGCTCTGGTAGTCTTAATTAAACCTGCCTTGCCCTAAAGAGTGAATATTCTAACCCGTCGTACTTACATCTTCCTGAGTTCTATTGTAGAGCTTCTCCAGCTGCAACTTTCTCCGTCGATCATGATCTGCATCAAACATGAAGAGCTTCGCTTCAGGGCCCGGTAGCGCCCTCATCTGGTCAAAAACAGCATTAAAACGATTACTGCGAGATATGTTTACATCTGTGAAAAGTAGTTACTTACGTGTGAGTGTGTATGTATAACTAAATATACATGTCTCTGCGTGCTTGTGTGCATGCCTGTGTGATAACACATTTATGCGTATGTTTACACCAATTAGACAATAATATTATATCAATCACACTAATAACCACGTAAGACTATATGTTTCTCCAATAATAACTTTCGTATGTTTTCCATACATGGCCAATTTAGAAATTAAATCCATACATACCTTTGCAAGCACATTACTGATATGATAGTATCTCTCTTTAAGATCTTCTACAGTTCTGTCTGGATATCGCTCCCTGTCATAACGATCCTTTATTATGATAAACCTGAAGAAAAGCAAATACAAAAATTAGCGAAACGAGATACATAATGTTCCATTGCTGCCAATTTCTAATGGAAATGCTCCAACAAAAAAACTACGCTAAACGTGTTTACAAGTTTCTGCAAAGTTAAAAAACAAACATTTCCGTCTTTTAATGACAACCTCTCTCGTGCTCGTACCAAAACTACTGCATTACACACGTATAAAGGCCAGTAAACACCAAGCAAAAGTTTGCACGCAACATATCGCATGTGAAATTTTAGCACAACCCATCGCGCGTTATACTTTCGCCCAACACGACGCACGTGAAATCTCCATGTGCAACATTTTGCAGGTGGAACTTTGGGTGGTGTGGTGCACAGCACAGGTGATGAGACGAAGGCTACGTACCTGAGATCGAACCTCCGACACAGACCAAACAAGTGGTCGGTTTCCTCACGCGTCCAGTTCTCGTCGTGAAGATGCTGCTGGTACTCCAGATCCGAGTACGTCGGCACCGGAACTTGCTGCCAAGCAGACGACAACGAACATCACTATACATATATATATATATATACGCACGTCTTATATGTCTATTGCTGTCAAGCAGATAAAGAAACATGAATTTTTGTATATTCCATATTATATAGTATATATGTGTTCAGATGTATTACACTGAAATGTAACACACGTGAACGTATCCATACTATCAAGAGCTAATAAATACCTAGAGTGTACAACAGGAAAACGGAGAAATAGTGCTATTTCATGGCAATATTATTCTACTTTGCCTACGAGGCTAGAATAATATTATGGTATTGCATTAAGCAGCATTCTTTGCTCTCTAAAACAAGACCAACCGCTTGTCACTATGATACTCCTAGGCCGAGATATTGGCTCATAAAGCTCCCCTCCCATAGGCCTCACGCCGCCTCGCATCCAGATTATTCCCGAACCTTCTCGCGCTTAACGATTCTGGCTATCGTTTTCCGTCGCCGCTTGGAGCGCTGATAATTGATGTCACATGCCCAAATTTGGTACTCTTACTACACCATAGTAACTGAGCAGCGTTGTAGAGAATTCATTTAGAAAACATTGCCGGCTCCATCATTACAGGCATTAGCCATGCTAGGAAAGGTAATCGGAGATAAGGGCCTAGGTGATGCCCCCGAAAGTCACCGATGATAACCGAAACGCCATTCATTCATAAAGTCATCGCGGAAAAAACCGAACTTTTACGAAGCGACTTTCTTAACCCGCAAAACGCGAGAAGGTTCGGGAATAATCTGGATGCGAGACGGCGTGAGGCCTGTAGGAGGGGAGGTTTATGAGCCAATATCTCGGCCTAGGAGTATCATAGTGACAAGCGGTTGGTCTTGATTTAGAGAGCAAAGAATGCTGCTTAATGCAATACCATAAAATTATTCTAGACTCGCAGGCAAAGTAGAATAATATTGCCGTGAAATAGCACTATTTGTCCCGTTTTCCCGTTGTACACTCTAGGTATTTATTAGCTCTTGATACTATACATTACATAGTATACATGAGTTCATGTGTATTACACTGAAATGTAACACACATGAACGTATTTATACTATATATATTATAAATTATACATATGTTCATGTGTGTTACACTGAAATGTACCACACATGAACGTATTGATACTATATATATATTATATAGTATGCATACGTTCTTGTGTATTACACTGTAAAGTTTTATAATTGAAGTAAAAGTGTCTGGTCTTATTCCCGAGGTGAACATGGGAGCGGGGTGAGCTCATCTCCATTCTTATTGGCCATGTGTATCATTCTTAGATAGAAAAAGTGGTATTTGCGAGGAGTGAGCACGATTCTCATTGGCTCACCCAAGACACGTTAACCTATCTATCTCCAGTATAGGCTGTCAACAGTATTTCACAATAACTATGCTATAAGAGGTTTAATACCTTTATACGATTTCTAAAGATTTTTACAATTTTTTACGAGTTTTTAATGTTACAAGATTGAGCCAATATTGACCAACACTTACTTTATTGAAGCGGGAGAAGGCGTAATCTTTCCCCTCATCCACCATCCGTCTCCAGTGGTAAAACACAGCTCCATCCTACATAAAACATCACCGGAGTACGTAAGAACAACTTCTTTTTTCAGGACCACATGTGGAGAAACTCGAGCATTATTTAGTGCGTGCATCTTTTATCACCTACCTTCCTCGCCGGATTGTGGAAGGGCATCCACTTCCATGGCCGGACTCTGCTACGGCCGATCTTGGCTTTCGCCTGCTTGTACCCGGTACTCGTATCGCTCGGCAACAACGGCGGAGCATCCCTGTAAGATAAACGACGACGCGCTAACGATTACGTGTGTTCTCGCTTCAGTAATACAACCTAACAACGTACGAACGAATGTTCCTACACAACCCGCGATCACGAAAATGAAAGTGCAACTGTTGTGACGGTTTCGAACACGGGGATATTCAGCTGTGATTTAATTTTAGGTTTGATGTCAATTTCTAGGTTCAACCGACGTATTAACAAGCCATTTTACTTGAAATTATCGATAGGATGTGAACACTGTACAATAATCTTTCTCTCAATCATTGCATACTAATTTTTAAAATCATTCTTTTTACAAATTTCAGAATGCTTTTTGTATAGAACTTCAAGATGTACTGCAAACTAAATTCCTGTCTCCTCTCTCTAATCAGATATAAGCATATGTAAGTACCTTGGGTCTGTGAACAGTAAGCCCCATACTTCTCTGTGCATTCCTTGGGGCTTCTTGAATGTCTTCTCCTTCTTAAAAACTTTCTGGAATTCACATAAATAGCGTGTGTATTTAGCCGTGTATTTTACGTACTATTACACAATTACGCTGGATGTTTAGTTTGGATTTTTTGAACTTCAAAATCACACCTGGATTTTAAGATCACTCTCTAGAATATCTCCACACCAAGCTAGGGAAAGTTTTGTGTTAGACAGAATCTATTTAATTGCAGTAAACTAACTATTGATATCTTACTTGTTTCTTGTCATCGCTGAATAGGCTTTCCTTGGTGACAGGTTGTTGTTCCGGCAACTCGATCTCCAAGATTTCCCGCACATCTGCACTCGTCATCTTGCCTATTTAGACGCTACTGAAATACAGTTAATTATAACATTGCATTTTCTATTGATAAACATTAAACAGCTATAGATTTTTCGATTTCTAACTTCTTTGAACTTAGACGGAGCCTACCTTATTTTAATGACTACCGTTTTTTTACCGTTATCCTCTTGCTCTTGGTCCCCCTGATGGGACATAAGATAAGGCTGCTTTAATGATTAAATACCTATAACTTAAAATTATAGAATTGTTTTATTCACAATACTAGTATAGTTATATTGTTGTAGAGGTGATGAGTTTTCGAACAGTGTGTTATTTCAATGAGAGGCTGGGTCTACTGTTTTGGCGTTAAAAGTAGGCATGGTCTCGCAGCAAAACACATAGATATACCTACTGTGAGCTCGTCCATGTTGTAAAAATTTACTACAACTTATTTGTATTGCTACTTTCACATTTCTTCATAAAATATAAAAGCAATTACTTCTTGCTACGAATGTAGCACCACAAGATGTTTACATAGTGTGTACACATCCGGTATACGGCCGAGCGAACGTTGTGCTGTATTAAAGCCACAATATGCGCATATACACGGCAATTTCTCCAGTACTAGACTAGCAAATACTTCGTGACATGCATAATCACACGGCCCAAGGATAGAGAACATGAGTCCCAATAAAACCAATGTGCCTAACCCTAACCCTAATTCTAATTCTAACCCTAACCCTAATCCTAACCCTAACTTATTATATTGATATAATATATTATATTTATATTGATGTAAATGACATTGGTTTTATTGGGACCCATGTTCTCTATCCTTGAACCAATCACACTACCTTATGACAAAATAAACTCTAGTTCCTCCCATTTCACTGCGCGTTTGCTTAAAACCCACAAGAAAAAGGTGCGAAATCTGGTAATCTGGCGCCAACGCCGAATTGTTTGCCAAGCAATTTCGCCCCGAATCGGTTAGATGATGTCACATGTTGCTACAGGTGTTGAGCAGAGAATATAGTCGTTTACATTTTAAGATAGTTGTAGTATTGTGAACTGCAGTGTATGTAACATCAATAGCTATTGGGAAAGTAATAATAGGCAGCGTAATAAACTCTGAGAATAACGTATTGATTTTAGGCTTGATATCGCAAACGATAACATGTCATTGCGCTAGCAGCGTGCGAGCGAAAAACGCACACGGACCGTAGAAATATTTGCTACCTTGTACACCCGCTGCACGGTTGCTTGGCAGAGCAACGCAAAAGTGTCAACAACATCGGATAATTTGAACAACATTGGAGGTATTTTCAAATACCTTTTATAAGACAACGCGCAATGAAATGGGAGGAACTAGTTTATTTTGTCAAGGTAGTATGATTATGCATGACACGAAGTATTTGCTAGCCTAGTACTGGAGAAATTAGCGTGTAGATGCGCATATTGTGGCTTTAACAGTTCTTCTAGCAGCTACAGCCAGCGGCAGTTAATGTAAGCGGGCTATAGTACTAGAGACTAGAGTAGAGGCTAGAGCTACCGCCGGCGGTGGTAGGCTACTGTAACTGGGGTGGATTTGCACCCTCAGCTGTAGCCACAAGTTCCCATCTCGCTTAACACTTTGCTTAACACTACGTGGCGAGAGGGTCACAAACCGACGCATTAGAAATATGTTCGGTAGTATGTGCGCTGCTATTTAACGTTAAATTATCTCACTTTTTATGATTCTTATCGCTTCTCTGTACTTCCACGCCTCGATTTATTTATGATGATGCGGCTATGCCTGGAGTATGTATTTACGTGTAGCGAGCAATTATTAGAATTGATAAGATGAAACTCCTAACAAACGCCGCCACTTCCGCCATTTTTCAATAGATATCCATAATACGTAGCGAAAGTTCGTGCAAATCTAGCGTAGTATTTCGCGCTAGACATAAGAACATCCAGTATGGCGTTTTACAACGTTCAAATATTATAGCGCTGTTCGAAATCTCTTATTTTAACGTGTATTTCGAGGTAAATAGTAATTAAGAAATGATGCGATAGTTGGCAAACTATGTAACCAGGTGATGATAAATGTGGTAATACATTGTTTTATTTACGAAATTTTACGAAATTAGGAGTTTGTTTTCAAGCTACCAGGTATTTCGTATGGAAGGGTGTCAGGCTCCTCCGTCGTGTAACAGTCGGAGAGCCTGGTCGGTTTACCTCAGCTGTAACTGTAGCCACACAGTACACTCGCCGTATATCTGTGTTCCAACCAAAACCAATTACCAGACATAATTATTCTATGAATGCTGTATGAACTGGCTTACCTATTAGAATATTAAGAAGCTGTGAGACTATAATGCATCATTTATTCATGTTTGATTAATAGCAGCAAAATCACAATGTTCAATTTTCAGCCATATTGCCATCATGCAACACTAGCGATCCTGGTGATAGGTAACGACAACTAAATAATAGCGAAACTTGGACTAATATCACTAATATCTCTTATATAAATCTCTTATATCTCTTAAGGAAGAGGAAAGGAAGAGGAAAAAATGGTAGAAGATTTCTAAAATGAATGTTTAAGAAGGATACTCCAAGCGCACAGCAAGACACCACTAGAGGCACTAAGAATAGAAAGTGGAATAATACCAATAAAAGATAGAATATGTTATAAAAAGTTAATGTTATTGCAATACATTATTATAAGTTAGAAAATCATAGAGAGTATTTTTAGAACAAATTAAAGAAATTGGAAGTAATTGGGCAAATGAAGCTTTAGAAATCTTGAAGGGGTATGACATAAGTATGTCACTTATGACTATTGGTTCACAACATAAGAAAGAATAGAAAAAATATGTGAAAGAGGCTATTTTAAAAACAGTAATTATGAGAGATACCATGAGGTCTGGTGAGAAAACAAAAATGAAAATGATAAATATCGAAAGCTATATGTATTAAAGCCATATATGACAAAACTGTCATTTGATGATGCATGCTTTGTGTTTAGGTGTAATAAGACGTGCATGATTAACTTAAAAAGTTATTTTAAAAATAACTACATGCAGTAATGATATATGTGATTTGTGTGACGAAAGGAAAAAAGAAAATTTGGAACATTTATACTCGTGTAAGGTATATAGAGGGTATAACAAAGGGGAACCAGTAGAAGATTGGAAAAGTGATGACCCGAAAATACTAAAACCAGCACGAGTGTACCCCTTTTATACTGGAGAGTTATCCCGCTTCAGGTCCGGAGGCGGGACGCATGACCTTAAAAGCGGGATAACCCCCAGTATAAAAGGTCGAACAATACTCAGCTCGAGCTAATTAAAGTTATCCCGCTCTAGGAGGTGGTTTAGGTCCGCTTCAGGCCCGAGCTAACGTCAGTATAAAAGGTATCTCGCCTTTAGCTCGCTCTAAATTCAGTGACCCGTGAACCATCGAAGTGAAGGTGAGTGCCATCGATGGCACCTGCACATTGGTGAAATCCTCTTTGCTCGAATCCAGCGATCGTTTCCTCTAGACGAGGAAGTGAAACGAAACGTGGCAACAGCATATCTCTAATTGCAAAACACACTTCTCTTGCAAGAACACACAATGTCGATATCACAACTCCAAATAAAGTTGCGATACTCTGACGGAGTTGCCAGCCACCAAATGACAACGCGCCCAGCCTGCTCCTGTAGTCAATCGGTCTCCTAAAATTCGTCGTCTGTTTTTCGATAGCTGGCCGTAAATGATCTGCGATATATTCAAACGTCGTCCTTCCCATTCTGAAATGTCGTCTCCATTCTTCTTCACTGAAATTCAGTACAATTTGCTCCCAAAACAATTGTCCATGCCGTCTATCAAGCCTGCCTATCCGCCTATCCCGCAGACTGCCCATAGCCAATGCCGCAGATGTGCGACGATCATCGCTCTCTGTCTGTGTTAACGCTAAACCGGCGGCGTCCCCGAAGTCGGGCGGGCGAGTAGAAAACGGGCTATTCTCCTCCGAAAATCCCTTCGGTGAGAGTCGTCCATAGCTAGCAGCATATTATTGCAGACAATGTCCAATGTTAGCTGTTAGCACCGCAAAGATCAACATAATTTCCATAGACTCCATTGTCAAACGATATCCAATTAAACGCAGATCGAGATAATATTAGGAGAAGCATCTAGCATTCTAGCTACCGGTATCAGAATGGTTGAATTTCTCGCGGAACTGAATTCGAACTCGTCAGTACGGTAAAAGCGTATTGATAAACAATTTTCGCGCTCGCGGGAAGCATGTAGCTGAGGGGGACGTGAGGTTACCATAAAATTGCACTGAATTTAGAGCGAGCTAAAGTCGAGATGCCTTTTATACTGACGTTTGCCCGGGTCTAAAGCGGACCTGAACCACCTCCTAGAGCGGAATAACTTTAGCTCGGGATAAGTATGTTTCGATCTTTTATACTGGAGGTTATCCCGCTTCAGGTCCGGACCTGAAGCGGGATAAACCCCAGTATAAAAGGGGTACAATTACGCCGGTCTCGCACGCATCGCACGCAACTCGGGTGGTCGAGAACGGCAGTATAAAACGACTTATCCCGAGCTAAAGTTATCCCGCTTCAGAAGCGGGCTAAAGTCGTGCGCAGTATAAGGGTCAGATTATGACAGATATATTTGACCGGCGCTAAAAACACCTTGGTATATTATAATGAGTGCACTACATTTTACCGCATTAGGTATACTGCCAGTATGCGCATGAACATGGTAGTATGTTATATGCAAACCTATACATTATACATATACTGATATTAGGCAGCAGAATGTGGCGTAGACATGTCCTCAGTTGTGTGTGTGTGTGTGTGGGGGAGGGGGGTAGATAGTGTAGGGGAGATAAAAATAGATATAATTTTTATAGTCAATAATGACACGCAATTAATACACTCAAGTACTGCGCTACATGACACATGCAGTCATACCCAACGCACTTATCTGCGCACTGCAGGTTATATAGGTTATATAGGACACTTTGCGCGCATATAATATAATATTAATGAATATTAAAACATGTCGGTGTCGTCAATACGTAGGTGTGTGTGTGTGTGTGTGTGTGTGTGTGTGTGTGTGTGTGTGTGTGTGTGTGTGTGTGTGTGTGCGTGTGTGCGTGTATAAGGTACGTCGTATTACAGTGTATTTATTGAAATGAAGATGTATACTTATAAACAAAAATTATTAAATATAACTGATTCGTAAAGAAATGAGAGTAGAACCTAACTTCGCATAAAAAATGCTAGAATAATCAGTGTTATACTGATAATTTAGTTCAGAATCATATATAATATGATTGGTTTTAGTTTCATTATCAAAATAAAAACCTCTATTACAACGATAAAAATCATAATTAGTAAGAATAGACGGTCGAAATACCAAAATATTTTTTTTTTAATTCGATATATTATAATATAATAATTATATTCTATAGCATATTCATCCCTTCATATTCTAAGCAGGGTTTTAACTTTCGTGAGCAGTGATAAGACGTGATTTGGGGATTTTGAAACAAATCCTACCGGAATGCGTTCGAAATTAACCGTTTGAGTTTCAGTGAAATAATGTCATTCTTAAAACGAGTCACAGACATTTTACAGTAGATGTATGTCACTTTCCATTTGTGCAATAATACATTAGGAAAGTATGAATAGCGATGACGCATTTGTAGATAAATGTTCAGTATTTATTGTTTGTAAAATATGCAATTTTTCCCCATTTTCCTCCTGAAAGTAGGGGGGGGGGTGATTGTACACGCCATCACCCACCTCAATAAATGTGAGGGGATATATCCCCCTATCCCCCCGCTATCTACGCCCCTGTTAGGCAGAATGGATTATTTGGACGCTGCAAATACGAGCTGTTTGTCATGCCCCCCCCCCCAATGTAATCCTTATCCTGTTACATCATTGCTTCTTGTGGCTGTGCAGTGGATATTGTATCGTAGAATAATCTACAATCTACATAACAGCGCACGGAAAGTTTATCTATTTTCTTACCGGATGCGCAAAACGAACGTTCGCATCACGTTGCCGTGTACAAACGCAACTATAATAAATTATAACAAAGTTGTCTAAATTACAATGTAAAGTTTTTTTATCAGGTTCGTCTCAGCGCATAGGGTGACCATAATAAAATCCTAAAATGGTAAAATGCTGCTAAAATCGCAAGCAAATATTTAGCGAATCATGAAACAGAGCCGCTAGCGCAGACATTTAAGGAAGTATTAATGTAGTAAGGTTTTCTGCATCGCACATTTTCGCGTGAACATAGAGTGAACGCATCGCTGAATACAAGAAGCAATCTTGAAACCGAGATCATGACACCATATTTTTCGTATTTTTTGTATGTTTTTGATAAATATCATTTTGAAAAGTTCAAGTCAATACTTCATGCTGTTGCTACTTCGTTTTTATCACTATATGCCTATATTACTGTTCGTATTTCATTATACATTGATTGATTGTATTGCGTTAAAATATTTCCATAATTTTATTTGTATCGAGTAATTGTCATGTGTAAATATTATATTTCCGTTCAATTAATCTGAATTTGAACATACTACATTAACATCTGAAATGGCGTCACCATTTCGACTTGGGCTTGGCATAGTAATTATAAACTTGTACACGGAAATTTCTATATAATGGGAATCTAATCACGAGGAAACGCGCAACGCAGATGTCTGCATTCACCTCACATTTTGTACTTTATTTTGTTTTTTTGACAGACACCGAATACGTACGCAAAATGCGCACATATGCGCTTCCTGTATACAACAGGCGAAATTAATTTCACGAAATTCGCAGGTGGTGTAACTTAGCAATATGGCAAGTAAATTGATATTCCAAGGCAATACGTAGTCACTGTAAATAGTAAAAAAATATGTCCACTTTTTCACAAAATGTAAGTGAACCAAGGCTTTGATTCAAACTCCCGCATTTAATATATTTTATACACGTTTTTCCCCCGCGGGATATTTTGGGAAACTAAACGGGTTTTAACTAAATTTAGGAACACTGTGCAGGAAATGTAGACATTCTACCGCTATCGCTCGCGAATAAACACGCAGAATTTTAAAAGGGAACATCACCCTAGGTTTAATGTACATTTCAGCTAAATGTGGTTCATATAATGCTACTAGAAAGTTTTGTGGTCGAACACGTACACCAATACAGTAGAAAAACTGAATACTAAACCTTACCAGTTTTATTACATTGGGTAAAAACATCTACAATGTGCACAACAATTACACTATCATTCCACAAGCACGCATACACGATATAATATTTGTGTTAAGTTTGCTTGTTTCTGAGATCTCTCTCTCTCTCTCTCTCTCCTCAATAAATACTTGAAAAAATACAACTCCGATCCTCTCGGAAAGCAGACACCCTCGATCAGAAAAATATGTTAAAACTTCATTTCACAACACAGTATTCTCGTTTCCATGCTATACACAATCAGTAGACATGCACACGTTACTATGAAACACTGTACAACACAGATTCACGAACATTCGTTCCCTTTTAACGAATTAATGAGTTATTTGTAGAAGATACGTAGTTAAACAGAATTAAGCAACAAGTTTGATAGGTGTTGTAAAACCTACACCAATATACCTCCTACTACTTATTTTGAAAACCAACCCTGTGCCGCACCACGTTTACTTTTTTGTAATACTATCACCATGAACATATCTAGATACCACTCCATATATCTATAGATGTGTTCATGTCATCACCTACTGTTTATTCTATCGAACGAGATTTGTTAAAACGAATTCATATACATTGCCATTCGGTGCAACTTTTCGGTTTTGCAGCAGCCGTTTAAATCACAAAAAATAACACGACAGAATACACCTATATATCGTCACACCGTCCCCTATCAACGAGACAGATTATTCAATTCCAAACACCGATTACAATAACACTAATCTTTCACAATTCAGTTTACATATATGTATATATACAACATGCGCTCGAAGTCAGGGTAGAGCAATATGTGTGTGCAAGACATTCTGATATGCGAAAATTAATACTCACTTAAACACACATGTACATTATCAGCTGCATGCAAGCTAATTCAGTGTGCCACACAATGCGGTTATCAAAAGACCAAACTACGTTTTGCTTCAGGAGATTCTAACCACTTCAGATACACTCCACTGCCACAGATCTATGTTATCTTGTTCGCTGCCCAACAAAACCCAAGATAAAGCAAACCTACAGAGACTTCTCTATTTCAGTAGTAAAAAAGCTAAAATTATGTTCTAGCTCATGTTGACAAAAGCCATAATTTTGCAACGCACTCACGTATCCCTAAGGATTTGGCAAAGCAGTGTGGCAACACAACAAGATATTATCCGTTCTCAACATCTTCACAATTTTATGTTACACATCAATAGAGTTGGGAATGGCCGCAGCTAATGGAAATCTATAATCTCTTGTCACCAAATGTACTGGCGAGTTAGAGATGCTTACATATAGACATGAAAATACTTGAAATCTAAGCTTGAATACTAAACCCTTAGAGACTGTGGGTTACACGTATCAGTATAACTCTTGAAAGATACTCTATTAAAAGCAGCAGTCGGGCTAGACGTTTGGAGAATGAGTCGGGGTCACTCAAATTACCAAGGGTATACGGATAAATGTACCGAAATGAATAGCTTGGCGTATTGGTCCATGCACACTGGCAGTTATGCACATTATGTTACTCCACAATAGATACGGGTCACGTGCATACATTTAGTGTATCCCATGTGCTTATATCACTCTTACGAGAGAAGGCAGTGAAATTCTTCATCTGTATTCCTATTTAAACGTTTCAGAGAAAGCTGTACCTTAGTCATGATAGACAGCTCTTCCACTGCATTTTAAAGAAGATGCTACATTAGATTAGAGTTACGCTGTTGTACTGTCCAAGTTTTCGGCAGTAACCACCTGGCAAAACCCTAGTGATCATTAGTTATATTCCAATGAATTCCGGCTTTGCTATAGACTTCTATAAGTAGAGCTCCTTTGAATGCATTTATGCAGAAACCTTGTAATTTGTAGCTTAATAATTGACAGATCCCTGCCAGCTAATTCCTGCTAATGAAAGAGTACTTCTCTGGTAATAGCACACTATGCGGATTCACGCTGCGATGCCCTCGTCTATACCCTGGCAGTATAGATTGTTGACTTTCCCCTTGTCGCTTTGAAGGAGAGACAGAAGCAGATGATGGATAGCACAGCTCCGATACACGACATGTAGTACGACCAGGAAATCCTGCAAGTACCTGCAACAGATCGTCATAGTCTGTCGTCATGACGGGATCGCAAATGTCGTCGACGGTACATGATCGTGATAGAATTGAATATTAAATGGCTGACTAACTGCATTTGCTTAATACGCCCGCAATGTACGATAGTCTGTTGTCATCGCAAATGTAGCTAACCATATGTGAACGAGCGTGAATGAAGTGAACATCAAATGATTACGTTAATCAATGCTTGTTACCGACTGAATGAGTGCAATGAATTTCACATCTTGCATCACATCAACATGTGAAAGTATGTTCACTTAATTTAATCGACTGCAATAACCAGTATCAGACTGTGAAAACTGAGCAACTAATCGAACAGCAAACTACACAGTGTTTGCTCAAATCACAAACCAAATTTTATTACACTATATAATATTATCTAACTTGTAATCACCGAGTTTATAGGCTTGCGAGAGCTGGCCACACGCCTCCATTACTTCTCTGCTGTTCCAACCGTTTGGATAGAGAGCACAGCCTGCTGCCACCAAAACTCCTGCAATGAACAAAGTAACGAAAACTTCAGTATCAGGAAAACCAACCACTCATACGTTATCTTACAAATAATTATGTGTGTATACATATGATCCAACTATGTACCACTACTGGTATTGTAGTATATAGTAATGACTTTGATATCATTTAGTGCGACAGCGAAACCTTGCGACAGCTACGCGAAAATGAGTAGAATTAAGTAACAACCAGGTGGCACCACCGTCTGAGCAAGTATACGAAGAAAGTACACAACGCTTCGACGCGTGAACAGGCCCCGATCATGGTTTGCACATAAACCCAGGTGCGTTTGGTCGACAGTATTATTATTTAAAGTGCCAGCTCAATCCCGTGAACGACGTACTAATAATATTAACAGCGTTACGGTATGGTATATGCGCGCAAGCATGGTATGGTATGTGCATCCATGTGTGCGTGCGTGTAGGTGCGGTTTTGGCATGCTTGCGGGTATGTGGTATGACTTGTATAAGTTAGCATGTCTATGCCTTACATTCAGTAAATTAGATAGAGTCGAATATGTAAGTGAGAAAATAAGGCGAGTTAAAAGATAATGCTGTTAATACCATTTCAAATTACGCAGCAACTTAAAATCAATTCAGACTCTATGTAAAAACAACACAAAAGTGTCGACCACCTCCCCGCGCCCCCACAAAACCACTTTACATGCGCGATGATGGATTCTACTCCAAGAAATCTAATTAGTTGCGAACGTGTACTTTTCGCGAATAAATACTTAATGGCATGACTCAGACCCGCCCAGGCAGTGTAGCTTTCTTGCATTTAATATCACGGGAGAATAGGGCAAGACCACTTATACAGGCGCTAGGGCTTTCATGGTAATTATTGTGGTTTCTTTCCATGCAGTTTCTTTCCGTAATTAAATCAGAATCAATCACTGCCTACGTGTGTTACGCGTCAACTCTCCCCAAACCGATTACAAGAGGTTTCCGTCTGGCTACAATACGCACGCACAATTAATCATTAATATCACTTATGATTATTCCTGCAACATCCCCCATTCGCCTATTCTAGATCGATACTAATGGCTAGACAATCCATTAAGTTAGGAATATCGACAGCCACTCATAGTTAAAGTTAAGCTTGCGTTTAAGTTTATTGCGTCACACTGTTGCTCCGCATTATTTTCACTGTCATTAGTTATGACAGTCGGAATAACCATGAGAGTTCCTGGTTTCACTACAACCCCTCTCATAGAGATTCATCAGTAGTTAAACTCCCCTCTCAATGAAAATGAATTTGAAATGAAAATGAATTACAAATAAATAATAAAAATATCCGTAGCCATCTCGGCCACCAAGGTGTGGAGTAATGGGGGTGAGCGAGAGGAGAGAAGTACGAGGATTGGATTGGATTGGCAAGCACGCGGGCGCAAATCGTGTTTTTACAGCATAGCCGAGTTTTGTTTGGGTTTCGCAAATCCGTAAGCGGTCTTAGATGTTTCTCGCTTCACCTCCCCCTCTCGTTCGTTCTCTCTCTCTCTCTCACTCTCTATCTATCTCTCACTCTCTTTTTCACTCTCTCTCTCTCTCTCTCTCTCTCTCTCTCTATCTATCTCTCACTCTCTTTTTCACTCTCTCTCTCTCTCTCTCTCTCTCTCTCTCTATCTATCTCTCACTCTCTTTTTCACTCTCTCTCTCTCTCTCTCATCGCCCTCTCTCGGCTCTGCTCTCTCCCTCGCTCTTCTCTCGCTCGCCTCCACTTGATCTCTCCTCTCTCGTCTCTCTCTTCTCTCGCTCTCTCTTCCTCTCGCTCTCTCTCTTGACTGTCCGTACCCCGTCACTCTGTTACTCAATCATAGACAGTCACCGTAATTAATACCACTCTACCGACGATACAACTCTCGCTCTCTCTCTCTCGCTCCCCACTATCCGCACTCCAAACCTCTCGAGTGGCCAACTGGAGTTGTCATTTCGTGATGATGCACAGAGAGAACAAGAGGAAAAACGGGTTCCGTCATCGCCCCAGCCGAATACCTCCGGCTCTCTATTAACCACGACTGTCCATTAAAAATAGAGCAACCCAGGCGCAGTGCCGGTACCTGTACACGTACCTAGCTGTGCGTTTACCCGTACACGTACCTGTGTACGTACCTACCTATACACGTACCTGTGCGCTTAGCTGTGCACGTACCTGTGCGTCTACCTCTGTACGTACCTGTGCGTCTACATGTGTACGTACCTGTGCGTTTACCTCTGTACGTACCTGTGCGTCTACATGTGTACGTACCTGTGCACGTATCTGTGCGCTTAGCTGTGCACGTACCTGTGCGTCTACATGTGTACGTATCGGTGTACGTACCTGTACGTTTACCCGTACACGTATCTGTGCACTTAACTGTGCACGTACCTGTATGCTACCTGTGCGTACGTGTACAACACCTGGATATGAGGGATGGATACACCGAGGGATGTATTAGGAGCGCTGTGCCAGTAACATTAGCGGCAGCAGGATGATCACGCAATGACCCATACTTAATTACTCTCGTGTCTTTCAGACCCCTGACAAAGGCGGTGAGAGAGGAGAGAGCGAGAGAGAGACTGGGAAGAAAGAGAAAGGGAGATAGAGCGAGAGAGAGGCTGGGAAGAAAAAAAGACAAAGGGAGAGCGCGAGAGAGGGGGAAGAAAGAAAGAGAAAGAGAGAGGGAGAGAGCGCGAGAGAGGGGGGAGAAAGAAAGAGAAAGAGAGAGGGAGAGCGAGAGAGAGAGGTAAGAGAGAGAGGAGCAGGGAGGGGAGCAGTAAGGAAACAACATGAGAAAGCAGCTGGAGACATAGATTTCACAGATTGCAGCGTTAACGAAGCGAATAGTTTGCTTCTGCTCTCGAAAATACGCAGAAACAACGTCAAACAAATGCGGCGGAGAGAGGGGCGGAATAACAGCTGTAGACATAGATTTCACAGACTGCAGCAACGTAAACGAAGCGAACTGCTTCCACGCTAAATTTTGCTAATTTTTTAATTACAAGACGAAAGTTTGCTCCAGTCCTCGCAAAATTCGGGGGTGGGGGATGAAACCTAGCTTCCACGCACAATCCCGAGTAAAAACGAAAAACCGAAAGACGGAGATAAAGACAAGTGCAAACATTTAACGAAGACGCCCTATAGCTCAGCAGTGGTTTATTGCCTGCACGTGTTGCGTGCTCTCGAATGAAGAGGTTTTCGCGGATTCGTGTGCAGGCACCGCGACGGCTTACCCCACTACAGAAGATTTCATCAACTGATACGGCGAAATCAGCCAAACAGTTTTGTAACAAATTCTTATGCCCCTCATCAGCAAACAATCGCGTTTTGTCATCGACTGTGTTTATTAGGAGGTAATTCAGTTTTGCTCTGAACGCGCACGTTGTCGGATCATAGTCTGAAAGTGGGTCTACTGCAAGGGAGTTGTCTAACACAAGAGATTATTAAACATTTATTGGCAGATTTCATTCACACATTCACCGAAGCATGTTTTATAGTGCGTAAAGCCTAGTGCGTAGTGCCTAGCGCGTAGTGCGTAGTGCGTAGTGCGTAGTGCGTAGTGCGTAGTGCGTAGTGCGTAGTGCGTAGTGCGTAGTAGCTTGGTACCTACAAATATTTCATTAGGGTTATACGACAAGATCAGCTACATGGGTTGTCACAGATTCTCAAGCCCTTCATCCGCAAACAATCAGGTTTTCTGACCTATACCGCGTGAATTACCAGGCAATTCAACGTGTATTGCGAGTCCGCGGTCTAGTTCCATTCCTTTCACTTAATTGCAGTACTTTTTATGGCTACACGTTGTCTGTAATAGTCCATAGAGAGGAGTGGAGTGAATCCAGGGCTTATTGTGTAGATCTTGGTGGTCCTCAATCGTACAAGAGCCGATGCACATTTTCTAGCAAGCGAATGCTCATCTCAAATCAGCATGACTTACATTACAGGGTCCGCAAATCTAAACGCATAGGGTTTTCCCAGTTTTTAAAAAGATTTGCATAGCTTAAAAAAGGTACATTTTGCACGGCCGCGGAATTTTACCCGAACACAATATTTGTGACAAATTAGTAAACAAATTCTTGCACGACGAAGCAAATTGTATTTCCTATCGGACAAGATAGACTCAAGTGATGTGTCGGCATATATATCTACAGTGCAACGAACGCAGAACTACGTTTTGCTTTCTCACCCACGCAGAAATAATAAAACACGACTGCCTATTGCGAGCTTCGGGCCAGGTAAATGTTGTGCCAACCACTGTCCGAGGTTACTCTGCGGGGTCACGACGGGGGAGGGGGAGGGGGAGGTGTGGAGTAATGGGGGTGAGCGAGAGGAGAGAAGTACGAGGATTGGAGGGGAGGCAAGCCGCGGGAGCAAATCGTGTTTTTACAGCATAGCCGAGTTTTGTTTGGGTTTCGCAAATCCGTAAGCGGTCTTGGATGTTTCTCGTTTCACCTCCCCCTCACGTTCGTTCTCTCTCTCTCTCTCTCTCTCTCTCTCTCTCTCTCTCTCTCTCTCTCTCTCTCTCTCTCTCTCGCTCTCTCTCTCTCTCATACCCCCTCTCTATCGCTCTGACTCTCTCCTTCTCTCCCTCGCTCTCTCACCACTCTCTCCCTCTCTCTCTCTCTCTCTCTCTCTCTCTCTCTCTCGCCCCTCTCTCCCTCTCTCTCACCCCTCTCTCCCTCTCTCCCTCCCTCTCATCCCTCTCTCCATCTCTCTTCCTCCCTCTCTAACACACATGCCGGGGCGTAGACCCGGGTGCTGTGCGCGCTCTTGCTCTGGCGGATTAAAGAGCGGAAACCAGGGACGATAGAACTGCCTCGAGCGTTAGCACAGAGCCTAGCTTTTCCCATCCTCAACGCGCCGTGAAATTTCAGCAAAGCAAGTGTTATTATCACGAACGAAAATCAGTCACGCCTTCGCACGCTCGTACGCACGCACGCACGCACGCACTCACGCACGTTCGCACGCACTCACTCACGGCTACGAACACACATGTACATTGTACAAACACCCGCACGCACGCACGCCATCCGTTGCTGCTAAATGGCAAAAAAGACGATGCGCTTTAATTGCGCATAGGAGAACGAATGGAAGAAGATAGAGAGCGCAAACGAGAAAGGGGGAGAGCGTGCGCGTTAATGGGTGAGGGGGAAGAGCGAGAGAGGACGATGGAGAGAGAGAGAGAGAGAGAGAGAGAGAGAAAGTGAGAGCGGGAGGGGAGCGGAGTGGGTAGAGAACGTAGTTACTCCAAAAAACGGTATTGTTAGGGTTAGAATACCTGTATAGAAAATCCGTCGCACAGCCTGGTCGGGCTAAGAACGTAGAAGAGATTATGCACTGCACATAATTATAATAAAAGCCGTTGTATCATCATCTAAGCGTCAAGGCTGCTGCATGTAATGCCCACCGTAAGCCAAAGTCTTGTATACATAGTTGCACACGGTATATATTTTGTTGATGTAACCTACGCACGAGATACCGTAACGGGGGCAGTGGTTTTTGCCATTAAAAAAATCCCGACACGTTTGGATCCTACGTACAATTCTTGCGGACGCTTTCTAGTGGTTGAAATCGTGTTATTTACATTAAGAAAAACAGAATTACTAAGCGCGATTAAACAAGAAACAACGCGAGAAGTGCAGAAGAAATTGTCATAAATTCACTACAACCGCTGTTAATTCAGCTAATAGCCAACTGTATACGCCAGTCAATTCAAAAACTCTGAAACACGCCAAACATCTACAAAAATTCCCGAAACATCCCGCTTCGCGAAACAAAACAAAATCAAGCCTCCACCTACATGCCTAACCTACAACGCACCTCAGGGTGGGGAGAAGAAGGAAAGGGGAGGAGGTTGATTCTCACAGGAGTTCCCGCGGATGCGCACGCGAGTTCTTTGCAAGAAAACACTCGCATCGCCCCGATCATCGTTCTTATTTACAGCGTGTCTCACTCAGCCTTCGACCTACATTGCACGCGACACTCTGAACAGAGCAGGGCAACTGCAGCTGTTACTACCACCACACCACCACACGATGCAGCGTCAGCGTGAGAGGAGGAAACCCAAAGAGTTTCTGGCATGTGGCGCAGCCCGCATGCGATGGGCCCACGGAATGAGATCAAGATTGTTACCAAACAAAGTTGCTGGCAATCTGCACAGTCTGCCAGTGACACTCGTGTCAAAACAATTGTCAGGGGGTGCTTCGTCTATCCCCGTGTTTGTGCGCGTGCGGTGTGTGTGTGTGTGTGTGTGTGTGTGTGTGTGTGTGTGTGTGTGTGTGTGTGTGTGTGTGTGCGCGCGCGCGTGTGTGTGTGTGTGTGTGTGTAGCTGTTTGCCGCTGACATGAACACGCAACGAACGTTTTTAGTATGCGGACGCCTTCTCTAGCAGTACAGAAGCTACTCGCATGCGACACCCTGGTAACAAACTTACTGGCGTACGTCATGGTCCAATGATGCCGAGGCGAGGCCGAGATTGACACTTTGTGTCCTTAAATTGTTCCCTTGTCATTGTTGCCTTAATTTTTGGCTCTCCTGCCCTGATAATATTTCCCTCATCTGAACCTACTTTTTCCAGTTTCGGACTCTTACATATCGTTAAACCTCTCTATATCACTTAAATTAAATCGCCCTAGGTATGAAATTTGCGCTGGCATTTTTTTGATTATTCGGTTGCCTTATTAATATCTCCTTCTCTCCTTTTTTCGTTGGTGAATTATTATAACCATGTGTATTTGTTTTGCTTCATTATATAAATTCTAATACTTTTTGATTCAAGCCTAATCGTGCGAGGCATGGACTTGAGGCGATTTTTACTGTTTTATAATCTCGAATTCCTAGAATAATCGTCACTATATAATCATTGTCATCTTCTAAAACT